GTACACAACATCTGTAAAGCCGGGCTTCAGTCAATTCGTAGAATTTGGAGTATCTGGAAGTACCTTGATCCTAGATCAACTGAGATTCTCGTTCATGCTTTTGTAACATCAAGGCTGGATTGTTGTAACTCATTGCTTTATGGATTGCCAGCTAAGGATATTTCAAAACTTCAGCGAGTTCAGAATGCAGCTGCCCGTTTGGTCACTTTAAGCCCAATTAGGTATCATATCACTCCTGTGTTAAGGCACCTTCATTTCATTCACAGAGAATTACTTACAAGATTTTATTATTTGTTTTCAAAGCACTTCATAATTCCTCGCCAATGTTTATTTCACAACTCATTCATCCTTACATTCCTAAGAGGTGTCTGAGATCTAGTTCAGAATCTCTACTTGCTCATTCCACTCGCCCGTCGACAAAGCATTATGGTAGTCGTTCTTTCTCTTGGGCTTCTGTCTTTCTTTGGAATGCTCTGCCTATTACAATCCGACAGGCAACTTCCATTGATGATTTTAAGGCAGCTTTAAAAACTCACCTTTTTAGCTTGTATTTTTCTTAATTTTTTTTCCCGAATTTTATTTTTACTGTTAAGCACATTGAGGCTTTAGCATAATGCGCTATATAAGCCAAAATTATTATTATTATTATGATCATGTCATCAGCTGCTAATATCAATCATTGGTTCAGTGATTGATTAACTGACTGGTTGATTAATTGACTGAATGACTGATTATTGACCAATTAGACAAACACATTATTTAAAAAAAATTACATATTTTACTTATAATTATATACCACAGCTCTGATTTTTTTGAACACTCAAATCAAGTGTAAAAAAGAAAAATCCACGATCACCCAAAAAAAAACTCAACTCCCCTCCCCCATTGAAAGTGTAAAAAAAAAAATCCTGCTCAATAGAAAACACCTCATATCACCTTTAATATTTCTGCTAGCTAACACCCCTCACCTTAATCATCATTTTTTTATTGACCTTCCAGCAAAAGATACCAACATCAATTTCACAAGTTTAATTAAAAAAGCAGAGAAATTCTGCAGCAAGATAAAGCACAGTAAAGTCTATTGTGATCAAAAGCAGGGACTCTCTGGTTTCAGATGAACAACAAGCAGAGCAGGCTACCCATCTACATATATGACAGCATGGATGATGAGTCTGATCAGCGCCCTCTATGATAGTATCAGGAATGCAGTTGAAACATTGAATAGTAGTAAAGAGGTAATAGAGCATTTTTTTTTATCTTTTTATGTAATTGCAGTCTTGATTTTATTTTATGTAACTATTGTGGAGTTAACCTAAACTGAAAGAGCATCACATTAAAAGCAGTCAAATTATAAGAAAAACTCGTAGAATGTTTCCCTAAGCTGCAAATTAATATCGGTTCACTCGGTAGAAATTGATACTGCAACAATTGTTAATAATAAACAAATAAATGAACAGTGCACAAACATCTTATATAGAGTGCAATATGAGTTGAGTGGAGTGTCGTCATACATAAAACAAAATATTTTTTTAATAATAAGTAAATAGCCTAAAGTAATATTTCACAATATCTTTGAAAGCTTGGTATTACCGTTACATGCTTAAAATCTCAAATGTGATTATAGTAAATAGACATAGAAAAAAACCAATCATGTGGTTTTTCACTAAAATTAATTGATATTAGAACACATATTAAAGATGACAATCAAACGACAAAAAGAACACATGTTTTGGGCAGGAAGGCTCTGACAGTTGTCACTGGCCAATTGTGAACACAACATTGCTCACCTTGGCCCCAACTTATACTGAGGATGTGGAAGTTCTTGGCTGTCTTGTACTGTATGACATGTATTGGACATCATCATAGTATTTGAGTACTTAAAAGTAGTATCAGACTTATTCATATTTTGACATCATTTTTCCACCAGGTTCTTATCAATTAGAATTAGAATTAGGTTCTTATCAGGTTCTTAACCTGCTCGCCCTGTCATCTTTGGCCGTCCAAATGGTCTTTTGTCTGGCACCTCCATCTTTCTGGCCACATTTAACACTCTGCTTTACATGCCAAAACCATCGCTGTCTCTGTCTTCATGAGCAGTTCCCCGACAGGTACTCATCTAGAATTAGTTACAATCCTGTAACCTGGCCTCATAGCTTAGGCGAGACATTTTTTATTCCTTATTGTTTTCGTGTACTTATTTTTTTTTTTTATAGGTATAGGTTTTCGGATTAGCACGGAATAAAAATAAAAATAAAATTTTGTTTTCTTATTTAGCAAATAGTTTTGTCCAAATCATCCAGACGGAGGAAAAAATAAAAATAAAATGTTATTGGTGAATGTAAAATAGGATGGTTAAATGTTTCAAATTTATATAATTAGAAAGAAATGTACATATCTTATCTTTGGAGATTTTGTGGCAGTGGAGGATGTAATAAAATCAAAGAAAAACTTATTTTTTTCTGAAATTTCCACTTTTTCGTGAAGGCGGGTACGCTAATTGGCAAGAAATAAAATGTTATTTTTATTTGAAATGATCAATATTTGCAGTTGGCGGAATCGTTCAAAAAAGTCTTGCCTTATTTGTTAGAGTAGTAAATCTTAATAATATTTTAATTATTTGTCCTCATTCTAATGCAAAATTGGAAATTTGGGACGGGGACCCATGGCTGCAGTACATAGTCACCCAACTTAACTACAACATATGACAGACACGTATGGATACAAACATTGTCCTTTAACCTGACAAACTCTCAATATGAGATGATCAAACAATTTCAACTGGTTTTGAATTGTGTAATGTGATTTATAGAGTAAAAAATAATACATTAGGCATTAAAACAAAGTACAGGTACATTCACATCATTTGTACAATTACAAAAACGAGTCTTCAAGATATATTTTGCCTATAATACATAACAATACCTTTATCATAGGAGTTTTGTGGTAATATAATAATAAGTAATTCAAAATTTGCAATAATAGTATAGTAAAAAATACATTTTTTATTGATTTTTTGTAGTGGTTTATTTATTCATGTATGCATTGATTTATTGATTAACTGACTGATTGATTGAGCAATATCACCATCACATTGTTATTAAAAAATGTATTTATATATTTTATTTTGAATTATATACTGCAGCTTTAAATTTTATATTATTCAAATACTGTATATTGTATCATAATTCTCACAAATGATAGTAGTAATGAAAGTAGTAAAATATATAATACTTAACATGATAGATTTGCTATGGCAAAATATTTTTTCTACTTGTTTTATGATGTTTTGTAAGCTAATAGTTTATTATTTTCACATTTTCTACTCAGTTAAGCACAAACAACGCACATTTGAATAACCTATGTTTTGTAGTAAAATTTTGAAATTGTATTTTAATAAATGCACTGGGCAATCGTACTATTTATTTAATGCTTCTTTTTTTTGTTACAAGCTTATAGGTATCATTGATCACTTTACTTTCAACACTAGAATGACAAAAAAGAAATAAAAAGAAAGACCCAGAAAGCTTGAAAAGCAAAGAAAGCCGTAAAACCAGAAACTGATATTAAGCACAGAAAAAAATGTAGAATTTGATGTCTTCCCAAATTCATATCTTGTTATATCATGTAGTATATCGAGTATTGATTTTTTGTAAATTTATATTTTAAAAATCCTGTACAGCGCCTGTGATCATTTTAATTGGATATTGTTTGTGCTAAATAAAGTTATTTTTAGTAGTAGTAGTAGTAGTAGTAGCCCAGGCATGCCAAATCACAGGGATCCCCAGCAAAACAAGATGGCCTATGGCAATTCCCCAAGAAAGCAAAAATCTCCTGAAAATTAACCAATCTTAATACGCAAAATCATAATATATACATTATTTAGTAGTAGTAGTAGTAGCCCAGGGGTGCCAAATCTCCAAGAGTCACAGGGATCGCCAGCGAAACAAGATGGCCTATGGCAATTCCACAAGAAAGCAGAAATCTCCTGGAAATGAACCAATCTTGCGCAAATTCCTAATATTTACATGTTTATACTACAGTACTGTAATTATCAATGGTCTCACGCAAGTCAGCTGCTGATGAGTATCACCATGTGCAGCTAAATAAAGTTACATGTGTTTAAGAAGCTCATTAACCAGATCTCCAGCAAGTGACTTCTTCCAACTTAGGACCCCTGAGTAGCTGTGTTAGTCTCAACTAAATCAGTAAAAAAATGAACACCAAGCTTTTTCTTTATGCAATCAACTTCTTCAGGTTGCTATTTTAATATGTAATTTTTTTTTTTTTATAGTGCATATAGTGGTCCCATGATTTCCAAGTTTAAGGATCATAATGATTTCTACTCGTATGTTAATATCAAAGGAATGGTCTTCAATGGAGATTGTGTATACTGGAAACCAATAAGAACAATTGAGACAGGTATGTGTACAGACTCTTCCTATTCATGTGATACTGCATTGTTTTGGGGTATAAGCCCACCTCTTTTATGCTCGCCCTTACTCTATAGGTTACATCTGATTTTATGTATTAGTGTAAACCCCCCTCCCTCAATGCCAATCAACAGTCCAGGTTTTGAACAAGAAGCTCAGTTGATTTTTTACAAATACTCTCAGGTAAAAAAAGATTGCCTTTGATTTGTTCATGCAGTGTTGAAAATTCGCCTTTTAAATATCCTTCCCTACAGAGGAAAAAGTTTTTATGAATAGAGGGTTTCTCAAATACCTTTCAATATATATTGACCAGGGGTGTGACTATGACATAGGAAAGGCTAACAACACATCAAGTGGTCATTTCTAAACCTCTGGCCAATAACAATACAAAATACAATAAAATGTATAATAGGATGGTACTATGTAATCCAATTCAATTTCAATTTTATTCAAAAACCTCCAGAAAGGAGAAACACAAACAACAAGCAATAAAATTACATAGAAAACAGAGATAATGGGAAAACAAACGAACAAAACCCTCATCCAGAAAGAAATGACAACCAGAGTTAAAATGGTTTGGTGAGCATGATAATTAAGTCGAGGTTTTGTTGATTAATACATGTTTTCCTATCGATTAATGTCTTAAGACTGTCAAAAATACCGTGTTTAATACAATCACTATTCAATACTTAATTGAAGTCTTCAATTTTCGTCTATAGCTATAATTAAATAGTGTCGAGAAAAGAGAGATATCCAAGTCAACCAGGCCTTTCTTTATCCTATCAATAAGCGTGTTCTGGTATACCATGTTACCGTTAGCTTCACAATTTAAGTAATAGGCATAAAATTTCCTGGAGGTGGAGTCATTAGCAAATATTTGTGACAAAAGATTGAGCTGGGATGACAAAATAATATCTTTAATCTTGTGCAAGTTAACTGCATGTAACAGAGGAGTTGACCTGCAAAATTTAGGGATACCAAGAAATGCCTTTACCAACTTACTTTGAATTTTATCCATGTTGTCAACTCTATTGATATTAATACACTGGCAACCATACAGTATGTAAGAATAGGAACAACTACAGTGTTCCAAATGTGAAGTTTCACCTCAGTACAAGAGCCCTGTTTACACACGCCGATACTTTGTAATGAAAAGAAGGCTTTCTGGGAATTACGAATTCTCGCATCAACGTGAGAATTTCCCTTTAGATTGCTGTTAAGTGTGACCCCCAGGTAGGTTACAGAGTCTGTGACATTCAAGGTATGATTATTTAAAGTCCATACCGGGGCTGTGGTAAACTTTGTATGCCAAATGTTGTACAAGATGTCTTAATGGGATTGAAACGTAACCCATGAGATAGTATGTAATTGTTGGCGTAGTCAATAAGTTTTTGAAGATTAGTGGCGGTAAGACTTGTTAAAAGTAAATCGTCCGCGTAACAGAATGCATTAAACTTACAATTTGCAACCACAATACCGTAATTAAGTTCATTTAAACCATTTATCAGATCTTTAAAGAACAAGTTAAATATAAATGGAGAAGATAGTCCTCCTTGTCTAATACCTTTGCGGATTGCAATACTTCTACTAGTCATATTATTCCATTTAACAGTGACGTTTATATTTGTGTACCATTTATACATACAGCGCCACCAGTCAGATTTAATTGCAGAATAAGTTTTTAAAATATTACGACATGGGGAATTGCATCAAATGCACCTTCGGCATCTAAAGAACAGGAGTAAACACTGGAGCCCTGATTTACACAATAATTAATAACATCACTAAAGGTGGCGGCGGCCTTGCTGGTACTTCGACCACTTACAAATCAAAATTGCATTGCATCAAATTCAATATCCCTATGAAATTAGAGGAAACATATCTCGAAAATCTTAGATAAAACATTTGAGACAATAATGGGCCTATAATTGCTTGGCACCGATGGATCTAGGCTTTGCTTTTTAAGAATCGGAATTAACGTACCTTCCTCAAAAAGATTTGGAACAACTCCGTATTTATACGTGTGTTAAATATCACTGACAAAATCTTGGGGGTTTCGATTTTACTCCATGCTTAAGGTGTTGAGCAATAATTCCGTCGGGCCCTGGAGAAGAGTTATTGTTTAAAGTATATATCTAATAATGGAGTCAGTGTTAAAATAGTTTGAATTTAAAATTAAATCTTTCATGTTATTCATTTTGGTAGTGACCTCCTTCTAGCATCAATAATTGTTTGGGAACTGTACTCATCTTTATCAAATTTGGACCCCCCCCCCCACATTAGCCCCTTCCCCATTTCCAGACTAGATACACCACTGACTGTAGGAGATTTTTACCGATATTAGATAGAATATTTAATAACAACAACAGTATTTTAATTGATTAGATGAATAACCGATATGTCTTTATTAACATGTTATAGTATGCAATAATCTATTTTTCTGGTCTTCCAGCAAAAAACACAACCATCAACTTCAGAAGGTTTACACCAGAAGCAGAAAAATTCTGTTGCAGTGAAATCTATGGCGAGAAGCAGGGGTTCGCTGGTTTCATATGGACCAATTAAAAGCCAGCAAGCCAAGCAGAGTACCCAGTCCACATATGTCAGGATGAATGAGTCTTATTTCAATAGCGCCCTCTATGATAGTGTCTGGAGTGCAGTTGAAACATTGAATAGTGAAAGTAAAGAGGTAATAGAGCATCTGTTTTTCTATTTATATAAATTTGATTTATTTTGATGTACTGTACTTGTATATTTGTCAATAAATGGAATGGAATCTTGGTTCTTAAAGTTTAGGGTTTGAATCCCTCGCTGTGCATTTTGCTTGTGTCCTTGAATAAAGCAGTTTATCTGACAGTTGGTTTCTTCCCACCAGAAACAACATTCAAGCATGTGGACCCGGGGAATTAAAAGTGCTTTATATCTAAAATAAAACAAAATTGACAAATATTCTAAACTTATTATTAAAGGCAATGCAGTCATATTGATCAACACTGCACACGGTTTCTAATCAAAAGAGTATTTTGCATGCAACTTGCATTCCATTAATTGTTTGTTTATATATTGTATGTTCATAATTTTTATTTTATTATTCATGGATGATAAACCATGCAAAAAAAAAAAGTAGTTTTCTTTATATTAAAATACTAAAAATATTATAATGGCAAAACAGAGATAAATTATCCTTCAGAGTCTGGCTTTTACATACTGGGTCAGCTTTGTTTAGATCATCATTTTTAATACCAGTAATACCAGTATCATTATTATCATTATTATTTTATTTAACATCATATCAGTACAGATCTGCAAATGTTTAATTTAATGGTTAGATTGATGATAATAATAATAATAATAATAATAATAATAATAATAATATACTGTAATGCTAATGATTTATATACTGTAGTGTCAATTCCAAATCAATGATCAAAGGCACTGTGCACTTTTTTGATTTTAATCATTTTTTAATTAGAAGCTCGCTATTCAACATCAATGATGAAAGATACGACAAAATAATTGTTTATTTTGGTAAATATTTCAGCTGCTCTGAGTTTTTTCCCTATTCTTCTTTCTTCATGCTTCTTCCATATTTACGTTAAATCTAATTTATTTTTGCTGCGAAGCAGCCAATTCATATTCTTGACAGCAATTTGACCTCTGAAAGGTCATTGTTTGTCAAAAAACGAGTGGCTAAGACGACTGAAAAGCGGAGTTTCCTTCTTTCGTTCTGCCGGGTAAAATCAATTACTTTAGTCAACGTTTGTAGACTAACCTACTCGTACCAACGTCCGAATGTCGCACTAGTCTTATCCTACTCTAGGCCTAGACTAGCTAGGATGGTATAGGCCTAGCCTTGAAGCCTACACACTTGTGATATGTCTCGCACTTGTGATATGTCTCGCACTTATGATCAAATAATACGCTGGCTCGCACTTTGCCAACACTCTTTGGCAGTCAACTCGCCCCTAGAAAACCCGCCCTTGGAAAATTTCCCCATAAAAAAATGTACACTTCCTAGACCATGCAGTCTTCAAAATAAAAATTGTAACCTTCGGTAATCAACTACATTTTCCACATACATAGAAATTTTTAAAACTTTATTAAAAAAAACCTAAACCATAATTCACCACACTATGGACACTTTTTGACAAAAATGAAAAATTACGACTTTGTTACTGAATGAGAAGTGTTCTAATATGGACAATGGGTCGTGTCTCATATTATTTGTTATAGTTTTATTATTCATTATTTTCACTTGGCTCGCATAAATAATTTTGTTCGAAGAACATTTATATTCAGTTGTACTTCGCAGCACTTCACTTGCAATTTGCAATTTCTAGTACTATTAATAAATATTGACGCATAATGTTTAAGTAAAATATATGATTATATGTCATCCAATACAATATTACATCATAGGGAATAAATTCATTCCGGATTCAGTAAATCATTTGTGAATTTTCTTTCCTTTAGTTAATCCAGTGTCAATTTTTTATAAGTAAATGTTGTTTTTACTTACAGACTTGACATGGATTAACTATAAGGAAAGAAAATTCACAAATACATTATTACATATTTTAACTGGACTCTAGAACTAGGCCTGTGTATGTATTGTGTCTCATTTAAGATATCTCAATCTTTGTCAATCTAAAGTTGAAGGTATGTCCTGGTCCCGACCCTTTAATGTCACTACTGGATAGGCTTATCTTCATAAGACTTCTACGAGTGAATACCTTGTTCAAAGCCAGAAATCAAGTTGTCTTTTACCCAGTACCATTCGTATATTCTATTCGTATGGGAAATCTTTATCCTAGTCAATGATTTTTTTTTTAACAATGATAAACTCTTTATTCTTTATTAAAAAGTACAGTAGCAGCCCAAGTAGTGTAGTTCAAATGTACAAAGGAACACAAACAAGAAAATACA